TGCGTGGTAGTGAGAGACTGATGCCCTAATCAACCTGATTAAAGCTGGAAGAAGATTTTGGGCTCAGAGAATCTGCAGGTTCAACAATCAAAGTCCGTGGAGCAGACTCTGGAACATTAGGAGCCACACACCCAAAAGCTTCCAGGACTCTTTCTCCCTATTTTTACTTTATGTCAGTTTCATCTTTTCTTCCTTTAGACTGGCTTGCTCAACATGAGAGAAGCATGGCTGCAAATCTCTCCTGTCTTTTTATTTACATCCTACACCTTCCAGTACCAGAGAGTGAAATCCTAATACAACAAGGGAGGGAAAAGATGGGCGTGTGGTTGAACCAGGATTGGCCAATGAATTGATCCTTGTTGAAGCTGGGTATTACATAGGTGGGAGTTTGTTATGCTATTCTGTTTGTTTAAGACCCAGGACAACACACCGAACATTATGCTATTCTGTAGACTTTTGTACATGTTGGACATTTAAATTTTAAAAACATCCCCAAGAAGGAATCATACTTAGCCTCTCTTTTTTTTTTTTTTTTTGCTTTTTGAGACAGAGTCTTGCTCTATTGCCCAGGCTGGAGTGCAATGGCGTGATCTCAGCTTGGCTCACTGCAACCTCTGCCTCCCAGGTTCAAGCAATTCTCATGCCTCAGCCTCCCAAGTAGGTGGGATTATAGGCATGTGCCACCATGCCCAGCTAATTTTTTTTTGTATTTTTTAGTAGAGACGAGGTTTCACCATGTTGGCCAGGATGGTCTTGATCACTTGACCTCGTGATCCGCCTCCCAAAGTGCTGGGATTACAGGCATGAGGCACCGCGCCTAGCTGCAGTTAGTCTCTCTTGAGTCAGACACCTGCCTCTGGGTCAGGCAACAGTGGCCAGAGGATGCGGTGATGGAGAAACTTGGCACCTTCAGAGAGAGCCTCATGGTGGGGACTGAGGGTAGGATAGAGGAGCTGTTCCCAGAATAAAGGGGCCCTATTTCCAGAGGAAAAAAGGGAGGCACCCAGGGCAGAGATGATTGATTTATGGTGTCTCCAACTTGTTATTACCAGCCTCCATTTCTCTCTCCCGGGCTCTAGGCCCATATTTCTGAGGATCATCAGATTGTCCCAACTGGATGTCCCTGGGCACCTCTACACTGACATATTTAAAATCGGACTCATCATCTTGTATTCCTGCAGTGTTTTCATCTTCCACCAGAAATTCATTATTATTTTTTTGAGACAGAATCTCACTCTGTTGCCGAGGCTGGAGTGCATTGGCCCAATCTCGGCTCACTGCAACCTCTGCCTCTCGGGTTCAAGCAGCTCTCCTGCCTCAGCCTCCTGAGTAGCTGGGATTACAGGCATGCACCATCATGCCTGGCTAATTTTTGTATTTTTAGTAGAGATGGGTTTTCACCATGTTGGGCAGGCTGGTCTTGAACTCCTGACCTCAGGTGATCCACCCACCTTGGCCTCCCAAAGTGCTGGGATTACAAGCATGAACCACCATGCCCAGCCTCTAACCAATTTCTAAATCATGTTCAACTGATCCTGCTTCCCCACAATCCCCGTATCTCAGTTTTGTCGTGTCTACCTCTGAAATAATTATTGACCCCATCCCTTCCTCCCTATTTCCAGCTTCACTACACCAGGTCAGAAGTCTCCTGGCCTCAAGATCTCCAAAGTTCACACCACCTCATACAACATATCACAACTTTCTACTACACCTATTTAATCTCTTCGTTCCTGGGCTGCAGGTCTTCAAGAGTTCCTTGTGCTCTCATAACAAACATAAGGCATCACGACCTTAAGTTCCTATAAGGTTATTCAAAATTGAGTCTTAGACTGCTTTTAAAGCTTTAAAGCTTCTGACCTTCCAATATCGTATACAGTGTAAGTGCTCAGTGAAAACCTGCTGATTGAATCAGGGAAAAAGAAAGTTTGACTTTTGTTGGAAAGCAAAGGCGCAGTGCCATTTAAAGCCATTTGTATACACTGGGCTACACACAACATGGACATTTAATTCTTCTATACTTTTGCTTATGGTTCTTCCTTCTTTTTATTTATTAGTTATAATTGAGAAACAATTGGGTTTTTTTGTGGAGTACAATGTAATGTTCTGATCTGTAATGTATACATTGTAAAGAGATTAATCTAGCTAATTAACATAACTATTACTTTACCAACTTATCACTTTTTTTGGTGAGAATATTAAACATCTATACTTTTAGCAGTTTTGAAATATATGTTATTCTTTTTTTTTTTTTAGAATTTTTAAATTTTATTTGACTTGTTTTTTTCTTTTTTGAGATGAGATCTCTGTCACCAGGCTGGAGTGCAGTGGTACAATCTCAGCTCATTGCAGCCTCTGCCTCCCAGGCTCAAGCAGTCCTCTCACCTCAGTCTCTCAAGTAGCTGGGACCAAAGGCACGTGCCACCATGCCAGGCTAATTTTTAGTATTTTTGGTAGCGATGGAGTTTCACCATGTTGTTCAGCCTGGTCTTGAACTCCAGAAATCAAGCGATCCACCTGCCTTGGCGTCTCAAAGTGCTGGGATTACAGGCATGAGCCACCATGCCTGGCCCTGAAATTCATGTTGTTTGTAACTGCGGTCACCATGCAGTTCAGTAGATCGCTGCGTTATTTCTCCAGGCTAAATGAAAGTTTGTACCCTTTGCTTAACATCTCCTCTTTTCCTATCCCTCCCTCTCTGCAAAGTAGAAAGTCCTTCTTTCTACTCTCTGTTTGCATGTGATTGACTTTTTTAGATTCCACATATAAGTGAAATGACACATTATTTGTTTTTCTGTGCTTGGCTCATTTCACTTAACATGACGTCTTCTAACTCCATGTGTGTTGTCTCAATGACAGACACTTCTTATTTTGTAAAGTTTGTATATAGCATTCCATCGCATGTGTATATACCACATTTTCTTTATTCATTTAGCCACTGCGAAACAGTTAGGTTGCTTCCTATCTTAGCTGCTGTGAATAATGCTGAAATAAACAGAGGTGTGCAGATATCTTGGATGTTCCAATTCCAGTTCCTTTGGATATATACCCGGAAGCAGAATTGCCGAGCCGTATGGTAATTCTATTTTTAGTTGTTTGAGGAACCTCCACACCATTTTCTGAAATGACTGTACTTGCTCCTTCTTGATTATGAACAAACTGGCTTAATTCTACAAGACTGGGCTTACAACTCACCTCCTTCATGAAAAAACTCGACATATTCAGTAGTCACTTCCTCTTCTGTGCTCTTAGACACCCTTTTAAGTATGGCTCTTCTAATACCATGCAGTAATTATCTTTTTGTTCCCCTTCATATCCTGTTCCCTGGAAAAAGCCCAGTTTTAATCATCATGAGTGTATCTGTTGTACCTAACGCAATGAGAAAACATTTTAAAAATAAATCTAAAGCTATAACACAGAATAATAGGCCCTCTTGGTTACGTGGGATCCCAGCATTCTAGTTCAGCCACCTGTAAGAGATTAGACTTTGACATAATCAGCTCCGGTGGAGGGATCTCTCTGCAGAGGGAGCCCATTCTATTTTTGGAGAACTCATATAAGGTTCTTCCTTGTACTGACCCTTGAATCCTTCTCTCTGCAGTTCTTGCCAATTAGTCAAAAGTTCTATTTCTTGGAACCTCCTGAATTGGACTTCAGAAATTAGCTCTCCTTTTCTTCAAACTAGACATCGAACATTCTTTCAAGAACTGCTCACAAGGCGCAGGTTGAGTTTCGAAGCTTCTGCACGTGCCTCAGCTTGTCTCAGTCTCCAGAATTGCGTATGATACCAGGTGTGGTCTGATTGGGAACAGGACATCAACAAGGAAGACTTGTGGGTAAGAAGACTCGTGAGCAATATTGAAGCCGAGTTGAGCAATGGGTTACCAATTTCCATAGCCAAGGACAGCAGCCCATGATGAAGAACAAAGGAGACGGGTGTTTGTGTTTTTATTTATTTATTTTGAGACAGGGTGTTGCTGTGTCGCCCAGGCTGGAGTGCAGTGGTGTAATCACGGCTCACTGCAGCCTCGCCCTCCCAGGCTCAGGTGATCCTCCTCCCATATTAACCTCCCAAGTAGCTGAGACCACAGGTGTGTGCCATCATGCCAGGCTAATTTTTTTTGTAGAGACATGGGTTTCACATGTTGTTCACACTGGTCTCGACTCCTGTCTCAAGCAATTCTCCCACCTCCTTCTTCCTAAGTGCTGAGATGGATTATAGAATGAGCCACTGTACCTGACCTGTTTGTGCTTATTCAGGGCTATGGATTGGCAAGGTAAGAATAGTAAAGGATCACAGAAAAGGAACCTCCCTGGAAATCCATTTAATCCATTCATATCATCTTCTTCACATTCTCCTCTTAGAATAGTCCCCGTTTTTTTTTTTTTTTTTTTTGAGACGGAGTCTCGCTCTGTTGCCAGGCGTCAGGCTGGAGTGCAGTGGTGCAATCTCGTCTCACTGCAATCTCCGCCTCCTGGGTTCAAGCAATTCTCCTGCCACTGCCTCCCGAGTAGCTGGGACTATAGGCGCACACCACAACGCCCAGCTAATTTTTGTATTTTTTAGTAGAGATGGGGTTTCATCATGTTGGCCAGGATGGTCTTGATTTCTTGACCTCGTGATCTGCCCGCCTCGGCCTCCCAAAGTGCTGGGATTACAGGCGTGAGCCACTGCGCCTGGCCCAGTCCCCTCATTCTTTAAAGGCTTCAGCATCGGAAGTGAATTTTTCAGACTTTCCCCTGTATGTTTTCAGATTTAGAAAAGCTATCCCTTCTTCTTATTTGATGTGGCAAAGAGAAAGACACTTTCCACATTATTTTCCTGATAGTATGTTGCTTAAAATTTGATAAACTAGTAATTCCTTTGAAATTACACGATGATGAGCTTTGCGCAGTGGCAGTATCATAGCCAATGAGGTTTGTCCGAGGCGCGATTATTGCTAATTGAAATTACACGATGAAACAAAATAAACCTTATCTCATTAGAATAAAAAAATAAAATAGCGCTTGCTTCAGCAGCACATATACAAAAATTAGAATGGTACAGAGAAAATTAGCATGGCCTTTGCATGAGGATGGCACACAAATTTGTGAAAAATAAAAATAAAAACATAAAATGGAGTGTCCAAGTCACCCATGACTGGTGTTGTTCTGTAAACATGGGAGAATCAGACTCCAGGGCTGGGTGTCTTGAAAGAAGGAATGGGCTTCGTGGATCTCTACTCTTCGCTGTAAGATTATGGAGGGTGGAAATCTCCCTTCCTAGAGTGCCCATTTCAAAATTAGAGCAGGAGCCATTTGTTAGCCATAAAGGAGAAATTTCTGACTATCCGTCTCCAAATACTGCAACACTTTGACAAGGCGAAACATCGACATTCTGTGAAATAGGAAACTGACACATGGCTAGGGAAGCATGTCCCTCAAGAGGATTGAGATTAGTATTTGTGTCCTGGAAATAGGGTGACCAGATCAGAAGGGCTTTCGATTGAAATTAGGTAAGGAGACAAACACCTAGATAGACCTGTCAAACCAGTTGCTGTGGAAGACAGATTGGACTTCTGCAGGAAGAGCCTTGTTTTCTAGATGATACGTGCAACCTCCACTGCCTACAAAATACCATGCATCTCACTGGTAATGATGTGGACTTGAGACTATAATATAGTATAGTACAAACAATCTTATGAGGATAAGGTTACTTGGTATGGTAGGAATTAAAGAGAGGAATATGGGAATTAAAATACATCTTTAGGTCAGGGGAGGTGGCTGAAATCCCAGCACTTTAAGAGGCCGAGGCAGGTGTGGTGGTGTGTGCCTGTAGTCCCACCTACTCAGGAGGCTGAGGTGGGAGGATCACTTGAGCTGGGGAGGTTGAGGCTGCAGTGAGCCAAGATTGCACCACTGCACTCCAGCCTGGGCGACAGAGTGAGACCCTGTGTCAAAACAAACAAACAAAACAGCTTACAAATACATCTTTAGGCCAAGAGAGGTGGCTCATGCCTGTAATCCCATTGCTTTGGGTGGCCAAGATGGGAGGATAGCATGAGAAGGCCGGGAATTCAAGACTAGCCTAACTGGCAACATAGCAAGACCCCATCTCTACACACACACACAGACACACATACACATACACACACACACACGCACACACACAGAGCAGGGCATAGTGGCGAGCTCCTGTAGTCCCAGCTCCTTGAGAGGCTGAGGCAGGTGGATTGCTTGAGCCCAGGAGTCTGAGGCTGCAGTGAGCTGTGATCACACCACTGCATTTTAGCCTGGGCAACAAAGCAAGATGCTATTTTAATATATTTTTATAAAGTAAAAGTACATTTTTTATAATGACGAGTGAGAAGGGAAACTGCAATGCACCACAGACCCACAGACCATGGCCATGTTTCAAGGGCCAGATGCTATATTGGGCCCTAGGAATGTGATGATAATGGAGACAACTATCCTTCCTGTCCTCGTGGAGTCTAATGGGGGGAAGGGTAGAGAGTGCGGCCTGTTTAAGGGATTGAGAGAAGGTTCTGATGAGGTGGGGAATGGCTAGAGATAAAGTTAGAGACAAGAAAGGACTCAGAGGCCCTGTAATGGAATTTAGACCTTACCTTAATGTCAAGGGGATATCATTAAAGGATCTGAAGCAGGAACAGGACGTGAACAAATTTTTTTTTTTTTTTTTTTTTTGAGACAGAGTTTCACTCATGTTACCCAGGCTGGAGTGCAATGGCGCGATCTCGGCTTACCACAACCTCCGCCTCCTGGGTTCAGGCAATTCTCCTGCCTCAGCCTCCTGAATAGCTGGGATTACAGGCACGCACCACCATGCCCAGCTAATTTTTTGTAGTTTTAGTAGAGACGGGGTTTCACCATGTTGACCAGGATGGTCTCGATCTCTTGACCTCGTGATCCACCCCCCTTGGCCTCCCAAAGTGCTGGGATTACAGGCTTGAGCCACCGCGCCCGGCCGACGTGAACAAACTTTTGGGGGAATAAGAATTGAAGCAGAGCCTAAAAGCTAAGACGACAATCTATGCAAGAAAGACTTGTGGCCTGAGCCCTGGCAGGTGACTCTCGCCTGTAATCCCAGCACTCTGGGAGGGTGAGGCAGGCAGATTGCTTGAGTCCAGGAGTTCAAGACCAGCCTGGACAACATGGCGAAATCCCATCTCTACTAAAAATACACAAAATTAGCCAGGCATGGTGGTGCCAGCTTGTAGTTCCAGCTTCTCAGGAGGCTGGGGTGGGAGGATCACCTGAGCCCAGGAGGTTGAGGCTTCAGTGAGCCAAGATCACACCACTGCTCTCCAGCCTGGGCAACAGAGTGAAACCCTATCTCAAAAAAAAAAAAAAAAAAAAAAAAAAAAAAAGAATTGTGGTAGGGATGGATTCAATTATAGTCAGGATTAAAATTAGCAAGACCCAAACCAACTGGAAATAGAGGGTGAAAAAGGAGAAGGAATCAATGATAACACCAACATCTCTAGCTCTGGCTTCCCGGGAGTGCCATTTGCTGAGCTGAGAGTGTGGGAGGAGGGCTCAGGTCGATGAGGTGGGGGCTGAGCTGAGCTCCATTGCAGAAATACTGAGTAGAAGGGGCCTGCGGCTCACTGGAGTGGAGATGCCTAGGAGGCAGGTGGAACTGCAGACAGAAGATGTGGGAAAAGAGGTGGGCGGGTGTTCAAGATTTACAGGTTGAGATTATCCAGGGAGAGGCCCAAGAATGAAATTATTCATCTGCACATAAATCTGTGAATGGTGTGGTGGCTCACACCTGTAATCCCAGCACTTTGGGAGGGCAAGGCAGGCAGACTGCTTGAGCCTAGGAGTTTCAGACCAGCCTGAGCAACATAGCGAGGCCCTGTCTCTACGAAAATTACAAAAAATTAACTGGGAATGGTGTGTGTGCCTGTAGTCCCAGCTACTCGGGAGGCTGAGGTGGGGGTATCTCTTGAGTTTGGGAAGTTGAGGCTGCAGTGAGCCGAGATTGCACCACTATGTTCCTGCCTGGGGGGTGGAGAGAAACTCTGTCACAAAAATCAGACAAAACAAAGAAAGAAAACCACACTAAATCTGTGAAAAGATACAGAAGGAAACTGCAGAGTACACACATATTTTTACATCAATCCCTTCTCTACTCAGTACACAACAACATTTAAAAAAAAATACGTTTATAATGTGGAAGTTTTAAATAAATAAATAAATCTGTAATCTGGAGGTTTTCATCTGTCAAATTAAAAACGTAATAGTCTTATTATGGGGGATCATTTAGGAATGCGGCTAACATCAAGATCTGAATGAAGAATGGGGGTTTAAAAAAATTATTCTTATATTTTTAAAGGTGGGATCCCACTATGTTGCCTAGGCTGGCCCCAAACTCCTGGGCTCAAGCAATCTTCTTCGCCTCTGCCTTATAAAGCGTTGGGATTACAGGCACGCACCACTGCACCCGGCCTCTGTTAGCATTTCAAGAAAAGGTAATGTCAGTATTGTAAACACTGGAGTCCCAGTTATTGACTTAGGAACTGTTTGACCTTAAGAGTGAAATCCTCATTCCTGATTTTTCATATTTTTTTCTCATCTATTCAGGTCAGAGAAAAACTTTTCTAGTTGTTTCACACTCAGATGGGTTTGCCAAGAGCCTGAGGTACAGCAGAGGACCCATTCTCTTTTAGAAGTGCCAGTTGATGACTGGGGTCCCATGCCATAACTTAGGCTGGTGCCTAAGTCGAACTCTTAAGAATGCTTAGCATCATTTCCTAGGTTACAGCTGTATCTTAGACGTTAATGGGTTGCAACATTATTTGACTTGTCTCTTTGCAGAAAAGATCTTTGCCATGCTTCAGGGCATACCAGACACAGTCACTCACTCCATAATTATAGGATAGCTGTCAGGACTGGCTTCAATTAACCAAGCTGCTTCTCAGCTACCACTATATTATCCATATTTATAGCATTTGACATTTTCACAGTGTTCTTTAATCAGATTGTACGTAGGTTGACTTAATCTAAATCTCTCACATACTTGGGATACCAGATGTTCCTGTTCTCTGGACCTTCCGGATGGAGAAATAAGGCATGAATCAGTTGTCCGATGACGGCACCTGGGGGTTACAGTCCCAAGTCACTTGGGCCGGTCAGTGGTGGCTGAGATTTCATACTAAAGCCAAGGCCTGCTTGGTAAGGTTGGGTAGGTCAATGAGACACTAAGACACTGTGCTAAAGATAAGAAGACCTTGTCGTGGGTTCAAAGGTCTGAGGACTAGATGAGCCCAGCTAGTTCAATGGAACCTCAGGAGCCTAGCATCCTTACCACTACCAGGCTACAGAGGCAATGAGACAGAGCAAGGTTGCCTCTTAGCGGCCTGCCAGACACCCTCTCACAAGCATGGAAGTCAAGGAAGATCTTGAGTTCTTTCTAGAGAAATCCCAGGCACCTAGCTCATCCTAAGAAGTAAGTGAGTAACGTGAGAAGCAAGAAGGTAATACTAACTTAAAACTGTGGCCAAGGAAGTTAGCATCGCGAGATGTTTGGTTCCCTATAAACTAAAGATAACATCTTACCATATGTCCCTGAGTTCTTTCAGAAACTTAGACCTCCAACAAATGGAACCAGTGGCACAAAGACCTCAGATAAAGGGGAACTGAGGACTGAACTCTGACAAGAGTTATTTTTTCTAAATTTCTTCCTGAAGGGCCTGGAGGAGGTCATGCCCACAAGCCAGAATTAACATTCTTTTCTGCCAATCACAAACTTTTAGACAAAGCTCTGCCTCCTGAACCAACTGCAAATCAGAAAATCTTTGAATCCACCTATGACTCGTGCCCTCCATGACCCAGATGTCCTGCCTTTCTAGGTCAAACCAATATAGAGCTGCCAGGTATTGATTTATGACTTTGCCTGTAACCTCTGCCTCCCTACCTTTAAAAACTCTTACCTGTAATCCATCAGGGAGTTCGTCTTAAGCATGAGCTGCCTGATTCTCCTTGCTGGGTGCCCTGCAATAAATCCCCCACTTTCTCTGACTGCCATCCAGTGCCAGTGTTTGGCTTTGCTGCACCTGGTGAGCAGATCCCAGTTTGGTTTGGTAACAGCAAGAGCTGTGAGTGGGC